TATGTGTTTGTGGATTCCTTCCACAGGCTTTGGGATTATTGTTTTCTTATTTCCTGTATCTGCCCCTGGTGGATGAGGCTGGACTAGCGGCTTATGCAGGTTTCCTGGCAGGAGGAGCCAGTGCCTGCCCACTGTTGGGTGAAGCTTGGTCTGGACCTCTGGTGGGTAGGGCTGTGTCTAGAGGCCTTTGTGGCTTAGGAAGTCTGATGATGGATGTGGCTCTGCTCCCACCCTGTATGATGTTTGGCTTCCCTACAGGCTGTTGGGTGGGGCTAGGTCTTGGTGCTAAAGATCCAATCAAGATGTCAGCCTCCAGGAAAGCTCATATGGATGAACACTCCTGGAATGTCCACCACCAGCTTTTATGTCCCCTGAGTGAGCTGCAGCCATCCCCCACATCCCCAGGAGACCTTCCAAATGTAGCAGGCAGGTCTGGCCCAGGTTCCTATGAAATCACTGCCTCTGCCCTTGGACCTGGTGCACGTGAGTTTCCATGTACACTTCTTTAGCGAATGGAGTCTCCGTTTCCCTCAGTCCCATGAGGCTCCCAGAGTCAAGACCCCCTTGGCCTTCAAAACCAGATGTCCTGGGGTCTGCTCTTCCCAATGCCAGGACCCGAGCTGGGGAGCCTGGTGTGGGGCTTAGAGCACTCACTCCTGTGGGAGAGCCTCTGCGACTTAACAGATCTTCAGCTTATGGGTAGCCCACCTGGGGGGTATGGGGCCCAATCATATAGTGAGCATGCCCCTCCTACCATCCTGCTGTGGTTCCCTCTTTATGTTTCCAGTTGTAGAAGGTCTTTTTTGCTAGGTTCCACTTTTTTTTTCTATGGTTGTTTAGCATTCAGTTGTGGTTTCACTGTAGTCACAAGGAGAGACAAGCTCGTGGTCCTACCACTCCACCATCTTGACCGCAAATCCCTCAGATATATGATTTACTTAAAAAAAATTAAACCAGAACAAGTTATTTAGAATTTGTTTCTCAGTCATGACGGTAATTAATACCTGATTATTAGCTTCATTCTAGTCAGGTGTTCACAGGCTACTACCTGTAACCATAAAGATTCTTTATGTTCACAAAGCAGGAGTTTATCCTGTCCTTAGCTTGAAATATATATGTCAGCCTTCAATTCATAGAGCACAAATTGAGCTTTTTACATAGAACATGTATTCTGGGAGGACGTATTCTAATAAGTTTCAGAAATTAAATGCATTTTTTTTCTTTCCTTGAACAGCTTTACATTAAAATCCCAAGGAACCTGAGGTAAGGAGACTCACATAGAGGTGGAAAGTATATATATATATGTTATATTTAAATATCTTTACCTGAATTGAGGCTATAGACTATGTTTATTAGATTACTATATGAGCAGAGTAACTCACAATGACCTCTTTCAGTGTATTTTATTATAAACTTGAGGAATTCTTGATTAGGAGATTTTTCAGACATGATCTAGGAGTGCTATGATTACTCCCTTATAATTCCAATTTGTCATCAAATATATATGTTGCATATTAAATATATTAAGTATGGTAAATACTAATATAATATTATTTACCTTCTTTCTCCACGTTTATTTATCAAGCACAGTTATATATCTCATCAAGCACAGAACTGGGCATTTAATTGCTGACAATTGATATTACTTCCCCAGTCTTCTGCACAGAACTCATGTATCCTACCAGGACTCGTCTTAAATGACAGCTTCTTCTTAGAGATTTTCTTCCTACACTTTCTCCTCTGACGCTACAGATGTTTGTGCAGACTTTGACTGGTTCTAATAAAATTATAAGTGTTTGTTGGTGTGTTTACCTCCCTTCATAGGCTATGCACTCCTTGCCAGCTCCTAGAGGTGAGAGAACAGTACTTATTTCAGGAACTGCTAGCGTAGCTGTGACTGCAGGCAGTACAGAGTGCAAAGGCAATAGAAGAAACTGAAGAGAGAGATTGGAACCAAGTCAGGAAAGCCCTGGAGGACATAAGAAAGTGTTTGAGTTTGGCAACCAAAGCTGTACTTTAAATAGGGCCGTGATATGGTATGGTCTGCAGTTTAGAAAGACCATTCTTGGCTGTGTAACTGGGTGAGACCTGTAACTTCTCTGAATCTTAGTCTCATTATCAGTAAAAAGGGAGAGTCAAACTAGATGATTTCTAAGGTTTATTTTCTAGTTCTGAAATTATGTGCCATGAATCTTAACTATCTGGAATCCCCAGGGAATGAATTGTGTTCGATAATAACATTTTCTGAAAATTTAATCTGTGCCAACACTTAAACAGTAGCCATTTTTAGATGGAAAACTCATTAAGATTTATTGCATACTTTCTTGATTACTTGAACAAAATATCATGATTCAATTTGAGCACTTCCTTGATGGCTTAAGTAATAGTGACTCTGTACTGGCTTAAGTTACTGTGTGGTTCTAGAAATAGCACTGATTGCCCTTGGAGAAGCCCTCCAGCCTGACTGAGCTCAGTCAGTACATGTATTTTACCATTTATTAAAGTTAAAGTAAATTTTGCTTTAGTTTCAGAAACTAGACAGTGCCTATCAATATCCTTTGAGAGAAGGCATGATTCTTTTACTGAGTAAAATGAATTGTTTTGCAGAATTCAAAAGCATAAATTTGAGCAGAGTGACAGGTCATTGACATGACTTCACTAATATATATCATCATACTCCTTCCTGAGTTGTTATAGATGGCATGACTAACTCCTCTAGGCCAGTTTCAAATGTAAGGATGTAATGCACACACAGCTCCTGGGTATTTTAGATCTTTGTTGTGTCCAATAATAACTCAGAGGTTTTTACTTACTATCCAAGTAAATTTACTCTTATGTGAAGAAGATAGACGCTAGATTGTAGCCCTTTTTACATACCT